TTTATTTAGTTTTCCAACTTTTAAAGTAATTTAATCATAAAATTTTTTCTAGAACATTTTTATAGTAATAAAGTCTTTTTGTATTGTTAGGTTGTAGTATGTTCTTTCTTTGAGAACTATATTAATATACAGCGTGATGGTGGTATATACCTGCAATGAACAAAATGAAAACATTTGTCAAGCAGAAAGAATATTAAACAAAAATTATCAAACTAATATATAAAGCTACTTTTAAAAACTTGACTGTTAACCTTGGATTACTTCAGTCTGTCTCAGATATACTTCATCTACTCTGTTACCAGTTTAATTCTGGAGTCAGCAGTACTGTTTTGAAATTATTCATAAAAATAAAAGAATGTGGTATTCATAATGATTAGACAAAGTGATCACCATTTTATGTTATTATTGTTCATATTGTTCCCTAAGTTAGCAAAAGTGCACTGTTTTATTATTCTGCCCAGGGGATTTTATGTGCGTGTTACTGGGGATCAAACCCAAGACCTCACAAGTTACTCAATTGCTCTACCACTGAGCTGCATTCCATTTCTAGATTGCAGAATTGATAGCCTTACTCAGTCTCCTCATATCTTGCTATAATTTACAATGAGAACTCACTTGACTCCAGAATATTTTCCCCAAAACATAAAATTTATTTTGTAAATTTTTTTTTATTGAAGTTCTGTGTATTTCAAACAGAATATCTTAATCGTCTTTATAGTCCCCTTCCCTATTGACACCCTTCCATACTTTCCATACTCCTTTCCCCACTGGAATTTGTCCATTCTGTCATTTCTGTTAAGGCTTATCGAGGCAAGTTAGCATCCCCAGACATCCCTCAGTGCAAGTTCATCCACTAAGGTCTAGTCACTTTAAGAAGATCAGCTGTTCTTCACCCAGGAGTAATCAGCTGTCAATAGTTCTTCGGCTAAGATTGGGGCCTGATGCCCATTTCCACAGTTCTAGGCTTGGCTTTTGTCTGTTTGAGTTTGTACAGGTCTTGTGCATGCTGGCATCATTGCTATAGGTTCATATGAGCAAGGCTTAGGAGCCTATAGGACTCTATTTCCACATAGTCCTGCACCTCCTCACTGGCTTTTACAATCTTTCTGCCTCTTCTTCTGCAGTGGTCTCTGAGACCTCGGTGGGTAGAGTTTAGTATACAAGTCCTCTCCACGGACCCACACTCTAAGAAGAGGATTATTAAAATGAAAACCATGGGTATACAAGGGAAACAGTGACAGGTTAATCACAAACCAAGCTATAAAATGTGAGTGCAACATGTGATTTAAAAATTTTGAAAGTGACAAATGTTCTGAATACTTTGGTATTTTTATTGTCATTTTTAAACTTCTTATGTTTTCCTTTTCCCCTTTTTTATGCCAAAACCAGTAGTACAGATTCAGTGTTTCCAGTCAGTCTGTGACTAGGTTTCTGAATTTCCTTCTAGTAAGTAGTTCAGAAGAAGAATTACTTAGACAGTAAAGAGGATTACAGATTCTAAAGCAAACAGGTAGTTGTTCTTTACTTTATGAAAATGATTACAAATTCAGTCATATGCTAGTGGATTTGGCTCACAGATTCAAGGGGAATAGGTTCATGGGGAGAAAAGAAAAATAATGGTTTTCATTATATTTGAACACATTCTGGTTCAAAACATGACGGAAACATTCTACTAGCATGTATTAATTACATAGAGTAAGTGGTTTCATTATGACATTCACATCCATGCATATAATGCACTTTGATTATATCCCTTTTATTAATCTTGTAAACATCACAGGAAGCAATAAAGATATTTGTGAGTGAATGAATAAATGAAGAGACTGTCTTAATTTAAGGATCACCTCAAGAATATGAATCTATCGAGTAGTAGACTTTATAAAGTGTTTAGTTTTGTGTCCCTCATCTAGATAAAGATAACTTACATCCTTCATGTTAGAATCATTAAATTCAATAGACAATGAATTTTTTGTTGTTCATATGCCCTTTCTGCCACAGTCCCTCATTTCTGACACTCAAATAATTTACGGCACAGGTGAGGTGTTTCAGCTATCAGGATAAAGTAGAAAGGTGTCTTAAGTTGGATTTAGAAGCCCTGGGTTTTATTCCTAGCTGTAGTACCCACTAGCTTGTGTCTCTTAGGCAACTTGTGTCTCTTCCATGAGTTTCAGTTTCCTGATGTGAGAAAGAGCATGTGGGTATGTTAACTGTGGATTAGAAGACCTTTAATCTCTGTTCTATTTCTTACAATCTGTAAAGAAAGAAGATCATTTCTAACTTAATTTGCATACAGAAAAAGAATTTCCAAATTCTTTAAACTTTCCAGTCTTGTTTTCCTTTGGTGATGATGGTGATGCTAACACTTATTGAGTTTCCTTTTTCAAACATTTTACATAGTTTTTTTTTTTCAGCACTTAAAACAACCTCATAAGGAAGACACAGTAAAACTCCATTATACTCATGAGTAATGTTAGACAAAGACAGGTTAATTAAATAGATGACTATCATATATCTAATTTTAGGTGCTAGAATTTCAACACAAGTAGCATATGGCTCTAGAACTTGTGGTCTTATTCAGTATATTTTGCCACATTTATACCTTGCTTGATTAAACTTTTCAGTTTTTCAAATTATGGAATCTAATTATATTGTAATGTATGGTTAGTTTTTAGGTTAGGAGGCTACATATATGCCTTATTTGTGTTTTTAAAATTATTTGCTTTGAAAAGTAGCTATTGTAATTTGGAGTGGTAGAGATTAAATATAAGTCCTGTGTGTGCTAGAAAAACTTCTCTACTGGGGCTAGAGATATAGCCTCAGTGGTTAAAAGCACTGGCTGCTGTTGCATAGGAACCAGTTTCATTTCCCAGCACCGACATGGCAGCTAACAACCACCTGTCACTCCAGTTCCAGGGATCCCACACCCTCCTCTGACCTTCCCAGCACTGCACAACACAGGTGCACTTACATATATACAGACAAAAGACTCATACACATAAAAGTGATAAAAAAAAAACCCTGCTCTACAAGTAAGTTACACCCTGGCCATTGATTTCTGAGACATCATTTCACTATGTAGCACAGGCTGACCACATGATCCCCCTTGCCTTAGCTTTCAGGCTGCTGGGATTATATGCATTCACCAACACACCCAGTTCCAAAGCAACTTTAGTTTTCTTGCAAATATGACATCTATCTAAAAGTGACTGTGTGAGGGAATATCCCTGATTAAATTATTTAAACTGCTGTAAATTCAATAGAGGATGTTTATAGACTGTATGATATATTTTCAAAGTTTAGTCACAGATCTCTAAATTAAATAAAACATTGAATTTTTAGTTACTACTTACTTAAGCTCTTCAGTTTTTCAGGAAAGTTTTACCTTCCTTATAAAATATACAGTATATTATTTAATAATTTATTCTTATAGCTCAGAACTGATAAACATTACCTTGTCAATTTTATTTATATACAATTCTGATGACAGCAATGTTGATAATTACAGGAACTAGGCTGACTATAAAATCCAGGTCTGTTTGTCCTGTGCTGCCTCAGGTAATGATTTTTAACTTTGACAAAGTTGTAACAGTATTACTCCTTCTCTTCCCCTGTTTACTTTTTATGAACTAGATAGATAACAGCACTATAAATTTTAAAATCAGAGTGAGCTGAAATCAGTTGGCTATTTGAGATAATTTCACCATATCACTTCAGATAATTTTACATATCTTAGCACATACTATATCAGAACTAGGAAACTGGCTTTCCAGTAGGAAATTCACTATTCACAAAAATGCATCCATTTCCAACTGTTAAAATAGCTGTTTTTCAGAGTTAAATCAGTTGAAGTGTAAATGGCCTAGATTTCTCAGTTATTTACCATAATGAGAGAGCTTTTCGGTTTCATAGTGAAATGAAAAAAGAAAGGAAACCCAAATCTGGAAAGGTGTTTTTCCTTCTCTAGACATAAGGAAAACTTCCAAAACTTTGTTTATGTTCTAAATTCAAGGATTATTTGAGGAATGAATTGAAAATGAGAATGAAGTCTATTTGTACACACTAACACATTTTTTATGTTTTCTAGGATGAGAAAAATATAGCTAGAACAGTTATCAAATGATTTATTATAATAAAAATATGAACTTGTTTAAATTGAAACACTTTTAATTGTCTAATTAAATTAAAGGACAAATATAACAGAAATATCAAGAGTAGGGTTTTAAAGTCAACAATTCATTAAACTACCTGGTCTAACTTGGGCAAGTTATCTGAAACTGTTTGAACATTGTTTTTGTTTATTTTCTTGTATTCTGTTTTGCTTTACAAATAAATAGTGTTTCAGGTAGCCTAAACTGTAGTGGAGGATAACATTGAATTTCTGATCCTCCTACATCCACCTCCCAAGTGCTAGGGTTACAGGGCTGTACCACTTCCCCCAGTTTATTGTAGTGCTGGCAAATCAAACCCAGATCTTCATGTATCCTAGGTAAGTACTCTACCAACTGAGCTATATCCTCAGCCCTCTTTATTCATGTGATGGATAGGATCTGTTGTGTAACAGTGTATATAGCTATAAAGGAAGGAAAGAATATAATCTCTCTTCTCACCAAAGTTATAATCAGGTTAACAGATAAAAATTATTACAAGGAAGTTAAGTGGAATACATGAGAGCTGTAAGGAGATTATGAAAGGAATTTCATGGGTTAAGTGGCAACTTTATCTTGAAACAATCAGGTTGAATAACAAGAAAATATTTGAGATAGGTAATAAAAATTTGCTATACTTTCATCACATAAAGATTAGTGAGAGTTGTGAAAATTGAGATCTCT